AGGAGTGTGGTTCTTGGAGGTGTGGTGGGCGTGTGAGGCTGCAAGGTTGACAATGCGGGGTCTTGGTAGTGTCAGTGCTTTCCCATGCACTTTCAAGGAGTGCTCTTTCAGCTGGCTGATTGTCATGGTGGAAAATGAGCAGGAGGAACATTTGTAGGCATGTTCACCTGGGTGAGCGAAATACAGGCAAGTCATCAGCTCACAAAAGAAACAAAATGGGGCCCCCATACTTCTCTTACTGAACTCGGCAGTAAAATTCCCATGGACTCTTCAGCGAAAGACTGATCCCAAAGAGAACAAGCTATGCGTGTCTCCTTGTTGGAGCAGTCTGGAGCCTGCGGGTACAGACACCTGCTTTGGACCAAAGTATTGCTTTCTGACAACTGCAGATCCTTGTAAAGTGACGGATGCCAAAAAATAAAGACCAGACTCTTAGCATGCCTGTGTTGCATGGTATGAGAAGAAAACAGACTCTGGGATGAAAATGGAGTCACTTAACTATAGCACTTCCAAATTTCTTTAGGAGCACAGCAACTAGAGAGGGTGAAGTCATCTGTTTCTGCATGCAGCACATCCAGCATCATTATTAATGAAGCAAGAACGACACTACAAAATGCTAACGAAGGTCCCTCAAAAAAAAAAAAAAAAACCCAAAAAAACCAAAACACAAAAAAGGGGGGGGAATTTACATTCGGGGAAGGTCGCATTTTCCTTATGAAAACCCTGCCATTAGGCAGGAGTAATCTTCATAGAACTGGTAACCAAGTCAAGATTGGTTTACTACAAGAAGTGAACATGGCAATACCAAGAACAGTGCATATCTGTAAGGCTATGTGAAAGTGTTATGAAAAAGCACTAAAAAGAAGTGAAAGAACAGAAGTAATGAACAGTAGTGAATTTAATTTGGAATACATTCCGAGCCATAGAGACAGCAAACAAGGGGAAACAAATCCTGAGACAAGATTTGTTTTGCATTAAGCATGGAGGCAATTGGAACACAAAGTGAAACTGTCCCAACACAAACAATGTGATATTATACAGGTGCCAAGTTATTGTTTTGGAAGTGCCACTTCCATGTACAAGAGTAACACTGGTCACATGAGTTGTACATAAAGTGCCAAAACTAATATAGAAGTGAAATATTCATGAATAGTAACAGAAGAACAAGAGTTTTGGTAATGAACGAAGCAGAACATGTTTTCCATCTCTCAACAAATTTAACGAATAAGGTTCTTAAACAGCATTGTTTCCAACACTGGAAATAAGTGAACCAAAAGAGAATGTGAAAACACACGTATTGCAGTAAGTCAAAGTAAGCACACATGAGAAGATTAGCAACCATCCTACATAAAAGTAACTCCCACCCCTCTCTTCCAGAAAACCTATGCTAATCATGGGGAAAAAATACAAACTCTTAAAAAAAGCATCTTTTGGTACATCTGAAAAAGAAAAGATCACTTGGAGTCTGAAATGGTGAAACATGAAATTGTCCCATGTTTTTTTTTCAAATGGCATTCCTCACCTGCATATTATATCAGTTATATATTACCCTTTTAAAAATAGAAAGAAAACATTTTTTGTATAGCACGTACAACAAGTTGCTGAATGGAACAGGATACTGTAAGGACAAAAGAAACTCTAAGGTGTAAGATACCAGTAAGACACAGATATAGACCTTCATGGTTGTCAGTATAAAAGATTTCTGGACGAAAGTAGGCATCAACTATTAATTCAAAAGTAAATTTAAACAAATGGAGGATGATTACATATTAAGCAGTCTAGACACAGCTAATAAATATACCCACTATTCAGCCCTAACAGTTCAGGTGGACATCAGCATGAAAGGATGTGTTTGATTGCAGAGGAAAGGCTACAGTTTGGCTTAACAGAAGCCTTCTGCACTTTTTTGACTGCTAGTTTTGCATTTCATAAAATGATTATATTAATACACATACAAATAAATAAATCTAAAAATTTATGTAGTGGGTCTCAACACCTGATATATACTCAGAGCATTATGTTCCAGATTACACAGAAACTGAGCAGGGGCAATACTCTGTCTTACAATCAACCATTTGTGCATGCAGCGCATCCGGTGTCATTACTAATGAAGCAAGGATACTAGAAAATGCTAACAAAAGGCCCCTCAAAAAATATAAGCAAAAAAAAAAAAGAGCAGGTGAAAAAGTTCAGATGAAAACAACAGACAGCCCATTTAGAGATACTGCAAACTGTTCTGCTCCATGCCAAAGGAGATGGCACATACTGGATGAAAAACAAATGCCAGAAACACTGACTGGTAGCAGCTGTTAGGCAAGAATGCATTTTATAGTCCACTGAATTTTGACCCATCCCCAGAAAATGAGGGAGAGAGGCAGACTCAGTAAAAGACTTCAGGATTCAGGATTTCACTGAATTTTAAAGATCTCCAGGAGACTTCAGGAAAATTCAGGAGGATTGAAGCTTCCACTTCTAAATAAACTGATAATGAGTTGATTGAGAAGAGGCAAAAAAATGGTAACAAAAGAGAGGTTCAGAGAACCACTGTGTTATTGAAAAACTGGGGAGTCTGAGGAAAAGTCTTCATAACATGTTTATTCAGTAGTATATATTTCTGAAGGATTGACTCAAAACACAACAAAGCAAAGCTCTGACTGAAAAACATACAAGCAATTTTTCTGTGATGTGAATATTCGTTCAGTAGAAATGGACTGAGGCAGAAACAGTTCATAAGCTTTTGGAAACCCTATTACACAAGTGATTGTGCAAGCACTATCTAGGCAACCATGAAATTGTGTTCTTGTACGATGCAAAACGTGGTCCTTCAAGGAGTGTCCACTAATCAAGTTCAAAAGCATGAGTTCGTAATAAATAAATCAATGACTTACATGAAGAGAAGTGTGAAGTAAATATTAGTTGCATGCTAACTTTGGCTCTAAAAATCTGGCAGATTCAAACACGGTAACACAAAGTAGCCCAACAATAGCATAAAGAAAACATTATTCTAGGGTTGGCGAAGATAAAGAACCATATCACCTCCTACAGGATGTGGGACTCTGTAAACTGGAACTGCTGCATACAGTTGGATTTCCTAGAAGGGATAGAATGCCATGGTCCCATACAACAAGAGGTTGGCAAAAGTTAAGCTAATCCACAATACCCATCCAGCTACAGAAAAGGGTCCTGGCACAAGCTCCTTGAAATCCCAAATCAATACAAGAAACGAAGTACAAGCAACCATCAATCCCTCCAACATTTCTGTAGACGAAAAGTGCCTTTGGATCAATGGTGACAATTACCTTTTTTTTTTTTTTTTTAAAAAATCAGCAGACAGCTATAAATTCCTCCTGCCTTTTCTCCCCATTTTCCCATCTGCCTCCTCCACCCCAACCTGAGAATATGACATAGTGTAAACAAATAATAAAGAAAGGAACATGCTTTTAGTCCTTTTGTCATCTGTTCCAAGAGTTTCTACTTGCAAGTTTTTAACACCTGGGCTAGTTTGCAGTTTTTTAGATTATCAATATTCTGTTATTTGCATCAGAGTGCATGTTTGGACTGTGGTTTGAGGGTTGATTTTTTGTCCTTTTAACCACAAAGATGCAACTGTAACCAATGGAGCCAACGACTTTTGACTCCAATCTTCTGATAACCTTTCAATGCATGATGCATGACGGTGCCAAGAGTCTAGGGCCAAGGAATAAAGATGAAGAAATTCTGAGTCTCGCACTTTTTAATAATCAAAGGTGCAACACTTTGAGGTGACCTATCCTGTATAACACATCACCTTCCCAATTCCTGTTCATCAGAAGCATGTCTGCTTGCTTGCTTGTATGGATTCCGTACTGCAATACAGAGATTTGCAAGACAAATTTCCACGTACGATAATGGAATCCTGCCATTCTCAGTCTGCTGCATACAGACCTGTCTCCCAAAGTTTGCAGTGTTTGGTTTTAACATGAAAGCCAGCGTAAGGCTCTACCAAAACCAAGGTGCAATCCACAGTCCTTTTCCCAGAGACACCTAAAGCACAAACAAATACAAACATAGCAGAGCAAAGCTCACTACCAATCCATTAAGACACAACGGTATAAGCGGACTGATTAAATTCTCTTGGAAACAAGCAGAAATAATAACAAAAAAAAAAATCATTCATATAAAAGAAAATAGAAGAAAAGGAAGAAGTTCTTGAAGTACTCATCACTGTTTTAAATTCTTGTCCTTCAAAAAACATTATCCAAACTCCCACTGACTCCAACAGGTGTGTCGGCTGGCCAATCCTGACTTGCCTTTGAAAATCTTACCCAAATTTGCTGACAAAAAACGTGGTTCAAACCAGCATCTCTGATCAGCAACAAGAATACACGGGCCATTCAGCTGCTGCACTGCAAAACTGAGAGAGAAAACTTACCAGCATGAGCCTTGAGTATATGGGTTTTCAGGCGGCTATTATAAGATGACTTGAATGGGCACAGTTTGCAACGGAACGGCTTATGGTGTCCATGATGGGTCTGCATATGACGATCCAGACTTGAAAACAGAAAGAAACAAGAGGGAAACACAAAAGAGTAAATCATTTCAATTATTCCTTCAGATGCAAAGCAAAACACTTAACAGCAATAATAAATCAAATAAGAGGCAGACCAGGCTCAACTATCCTTTCTCATACTCTCTCTTAAAATTCAATAGGACTGCTTATGGAATAAAGTAGAATCTAATCTGAGGAAAAGGAGCTGAGCTGACATCAATTCTGTTATGCAGAAAGCAAGCCACTTAAATAAACTTATAGGGCAAGATTAGTATAAATTAAATTATACCTGATCCAGACTTAAAGGACCAGCTGAAGAAACAAAAAATAGACAACAGTAAAATTATCATTACAGAATTTTTCTCCTGGCAAATATTTTTGTGAAATATGCCCCCTTTTGTCCTGTTGATGAAGGCGGGGCAGAAGTATTTTTGACCAGTTTTACTGAGGAAGCCTTCTTTTGGGTACAGCAGTAAAGGCAGATTAGAGATCCTGCTCTGGGGAGGGTGCCAGCAGGCCGGAGTTCATGAGTTCCAGGATTAAAAAGTAGCAGAGTTTCCAAAGTAACAGTGTGGGAGATTCTGCATGAAGCTCCAAAAGAGAAGAAGGGGTGGCAAAGACCAGCCTCTGCTTCCTTCAAGGAAACTGGAACCTACTGACAGCCTGAATTCTGGCAGGTGATCAGAACCTGCACTCTCTACACACTTTCTCATAACAGCTCAGTGAAGTTTGGAAGGAAAACAAGGATCTTTTCCACATTTTCTAACAGAAGATCAAATTCATTCTATCTGAGCGAGTCCTTTAGAGCTCTGCAGTTACTACACTGTGGCTGACAGCCATGAATTCACAGTTTCCCGGTGGCAGGCAGGTAGTTTCAGCTTGGGTTGTAAACATTTCCCATACAGCCTCTTCTCTCGACACATTCATGCTTTGTGATCTAGTCTTAGTTTGAGTCATCTTATGCATGGTGATGGAACAATAACAGAACAGATACAGCACACTGGAAGAGTGGCAATTTGCCAAAACTACCCCCCACCTGCCACCTTAATTCTAGATGTGTTTCAGCGTATTTCCTTTTATTTTTCCTGAATTGTCCTGTTCTTTTTTTACTGAGTATCAAACATAGATGAAGTGGCAGTTGTTCCAGCCCTCTCACACTACACAAGATTGTCACGGGATCTTTAGACCCACACTGACAAGAGCTTGAGCCAGAAAATCCCTGTTTATGAGAGCTAACACTGAAGTCTGTGTATTCAAAGATCTGATGACAGAAAAAAAAAAAAAAAAAGAACTTATGTCTCCTCTCAGGGCCACTTCATACAAATACAATTTAATAGAACATCCAGGATGGAGTTTATGGCAAGATAAAATGTACAGCTCTTCCAGAGAAATGGGGAAAAAGTCTCCTAAATGAGTAAGACATTGAACCCTTGCAGTGAATACTTCATAGAACAAAACTTGTTTTAAATAGCTGACAGGGAATGAGCTTACTTAACAATTAAAGCAGACTGCCAAAGACATATAGAATCATAGAATCATAGAA